TTCATAGTACTGGTATAATGATAATATTGAATGATTGACGTACCGATGTGTTGTTTCCCACTATATCAATTAATTAATTATGGATGAATTTATTTTCTCACACCCATTATTAATTATAGATTTCAATGTGATAATTTCTGCTTTTTATTATTGATCATATTGACTTGTACTATTGATGATTGGTCATTTTATTTCACTAAATTTATTTAAAGCTATATTAACTTTACTAATTGAGATGAGCATACATATTGAAGTGAGTTTTGAGTTTCTACTAGACTTTGTGCTCATTATGTATATTTGATTGATATTTAAATTCAAGAAGGGGACAAGCTAAGTGAGTTAAATTATAGCCAAAATTATAGGTTTAGTTTATTTTTTGAATATTGTTTTATTCTTTTGTAACATAAGTGTCCAATGATAGTTGATGTTATAGATTGAAATTCTGATTATTGTGAAGAAATTTTGAATAGTTATGTGTATTGATAAATGATATTATATATAGACTTTTTTACTATTTTAATTGATATAAAATAAAATTAGAGGCGCTGATATATTTATTAGAATATAAAAAAGATGCAACTCTTCGGCATGATAGCTTGGTATTAGAGTGAATGTTGTTGGAAGAATTGAATTATAAGCCAGAGTCACGGGATTGATAATGATTATGAGTAAGATAGAATTTAGGTAATATAGATTTTTATCTTTGCATATTAGATTGATTGATCTACATTTATATGAATGTTGAGTTGGTGTTTAATTGATTAGGAAAGAGAATGATATTAATGAATAGATGGACTACATTGATCATAATGTACATAATGGATAGAGTGGAGCAGTTGTTCTAATGAATTTTGATAGTTTAATATAACTTGCTAGTATACTTACACAAGTAATGAGTGATGCACAAAGTAAACATACTGGATACAAGGAATGAGAAGAAGATAGATAATTACAAATGTTCCATAAATTGAAATTGTCATTGTTAAAAGGAGATGTGGAACCCCAAACAGCAGAACATTGGTTGCTGAGGATAGAAAAAATATTCGACAATATGTAGTGCCCTAAGAGAAAAAAATACCACTGGCAAGGTTGCTATTTGAGGGAGAAACTGGAAGGTGATGGATTGGACAGTAATGAGAGATGTTTCGGAGAAAAGTAAATGCAGAGATTAGCTGGGCAATTTTGTTAGTACATTTAGAAATTGGTTTGTACCTTCATCAGCCGATAGCAAATGCAAAAGCCTTCTATGAGATTGAGGTAGAAAATACAATAATATAGTATGAATCTAAGTTTACATCACTCACTAGGTATGCTCTATAGTTAATCAGTACAGATGAAGAAAAGTAGTGTTGCAAATTTTTTAGAGGACTTAGGCATGAGATGAGGCATCTGTTAGTACCAAATAAAAATTCATGAGTTTTTAGAGTTAATGGAGAGAGCCAAATAAGTATAGAATGATTGGCTATACCACTGCTTAAACATGATACTAGCATGAAAAGATTAGGAGATGATGTGATAAGGAGAGATAATAGTAAGAAGAGAAGTAAAATTTTAGACAATAGGAGAGGATCTGAGATGAGTGTGAGAAATGTATCAAAACGTGCTCAATGTGGTAAGGGACATTGGGCATCTGTGCATGTGGTGTGTGTGCGTGCGTGCGTGCGTATGCGGGTGTGCGTGCATGTGTGTGGGTGTGTATGTGTGCGTGTGCGTGCGCGTGTGTGGGTTTGTGTGTGGGTGTGTGTGGGTGTGTGAAGGAAGAGAGAGAGAGAGAAAGAGAGGAGAGAGAAAGTTGTGTGTGTTTGTGTTTACTAATTTAAGTCCCACCCCCCACCCATAATGATAAAAATGAATTTTCTTCTAGTTTATCAAATTTTCACTCTGTAACTTTTTATGGATTATATATATGATTGATATGGACATTTTGATTGTAATTTTATAAAATAAAAAATATGTTTTTTGTAAGTTATTAATTAGTATACAAGTTTTCATGTATTTTATGGATTTCTACATTTCATATTGCATTTCATACATCAAGAGAGATTGATACAATTAATACAAAATAAGTGTAGTGTTTGCATGTTAGCAAAAAATACTGGCTATTAACACTATAATTAATTTGAGTTTGCTCTTAAAACATGATTCTCTATACAAGAGGGTTTGTCGCAAGCTTTTTCTTAAAGATATTTTATGGTGTTATCTCAGTTGTAGCATGTAACTGTTGAATGATTATGCTAACAAATAAAGAGTGATGACTCTTTATAAATAATTGGGAGTCACATATAATGATAATTGACTTAATAAATAAATGATAAGATTTATGGATGACAGATGGAAGGATGAAAATACCGCATTAAAGCTTGTTGTCATGCCTTGTTGAATTGTATGATGTTGATGCAAACATTGATAGCAAACATAATGGTGGATAGAGAATTGATGATTAGATAAGATAGATAATAGGATTCAGACATTGTTATTCATGTTTATAAAATAGTTTAATTAGCATATTATTCATGATTTTATAGATTATAGATTATTATATTCAACATATGTCAGCATTATTGATACATGGCATATTGTTGTGACACCTGCATGTACATGATTCATAATACTGATAGAATGATAATAATATTGAATGATTGGTGTACCAATGCGTTGTTTCCTACTATACTGATTAATTGATTATGGACGAATATATTTTCTCACATCTATTATTGATTTATATATTTTTGTATAATGATTTTCTGGTTTTCGTTATTGATCATATTGACCCATACTATTGATGACTAATCATTGTTTCACTGAATTTATTGAAATTTATATTGACTTTATTGATTGAGATGAGCATGCATATTAATTCCTTGAATCGAAGGCTTAAATTAGTTTTGAATTTTTGCTAGGCTTTATGCTCATTATGTATATTTAATTGATTTTAGGGTTTAAAAAGGGGATCAGCTGAGTGAGATTGATTAGAGTTAAAATTGCATGTTTAGTTAACTTTTTGAATTTTGTTTTATTCTTTTCTAATCATAAGTGGTCAATGATAGTTGATATTTTAGATTGAACTTCTGGTTTTTGTAAATGGATTTTAAACAGTGATGTATATTGATAAATGATATAATATATAGATTTTTTGTTGTTTTGATTGATATAAAATAAAATTAGAGGCTCTCGTAGATTTATTAGAAGATAAATATATGTAATCTTTTGATTTAGTCTTGGGGTGTGACATAAGGTCAAAGTCTCCATCACATGTATCAATTACGAGTAACTTAAACCCTAATGGAATAGGATTTTGAAGAATTGCATCGACCATAGGGGAAGATTCTTGAAAGTTGCAATGATAAGTACACTGATTCCTCTCCATCAAAAAGAAATCCTCTTGAATAAGTCAGTTATAGCACATCTCTTATAACATCATCAAAAGGCACCCATAAAGTGATGTTGATTTAAGTCATCTAAGATTGGTGGAGGATTACGTGTTGATCAAATAACATAGGAAAAATGTGTTAAACTAGCTGTGTTAGAGAAAATTTGATGAGATTGTGGTGGAGGAGATATTGTTATATTGGCATCAACTCCAACCGGTTGCTAATTTTGTAGGGAGAGAATTCTATAATGTGATGGTGATCTTTATTGTTCAGACTCCTCTAAGAGTTGTAGGATTTGAAACTGAAGTTTTTCAACCTATATATGTGTTCCTCCAAAGTGGAAGCTGAATGGCCTTCACCACCTACACTTTGTTGTCTTGATTGATGGATTGATTATCAGCTATTAAAAAATAAGTATAGTATGCTAAAAATATTTTTCACAAACGACACTAAACTGGTACATGCTAAAAACTAAAAATAAAAAATATATGTGGTAGTAGGATGCATTTTATGTCTTAGCTTTTGACAAAAAATCAGCACACACACAAAATTGTATGAGTCAAGAAACTATTTACATAGAAATCCTAGAAAGAGAATCACGAGGCTTTGCCCAGTTGAATAACCCACTATAGATCTATAAGTAAAAGGATCCTCTTTTCCTCATTGTTTAAGAGGATAAAATTAGTTGAGAACAAATATTTTCTTTTCCTTCTAAAATTTATAGAAGTCAACTAACTGCCCACATGCGACAAGTTAAAAGCCCAATGGGGTTAACTCTTAACAGGAATCTAGATGCGGTGGTGGCAATTGTTAATTGTATTCGTTGGCGATGATAGTCGGAATACACAAGAGAGCTCTTTTGTTCTCTTAGCTCTTAAACCTCCCCCCTTCTGTAGAAAATAGGGCCATATTTAAAAGCTTTTTGAGATGAATATTTTGTTAAATTTCAAAAGAATCCAAAACACTTCATCGTACAATCTATATCGATCCCTTGATCATAAATTATTGATTAAATATTTAAAAGACTTAGCGATGTCAAAATCAAATAAGATTGAACTCATTTAACTAATATCATCAAGCCGCTAAATTTAACTATAAAAGTATTATAATTTAAAGACATTTATTCGATCAAGTTATATTTCCAAACTTTCCAAACAACATTCTAAGTGATTGATTCAAATTCATTTAGAATCAAATCAGATCAGTTTATAACATTGCTAAATTGGCATCATCAAAACATTCATTTGACTATAAGATTACTAAAATCAAAGTTCAAAATTTCCAATTCATACATTGCCTCGAGAGGTTTATGTTGATCGTAGAAATTTTCTATAATCATATTAATTAAAAATATAATACTTAAAAATGTCAACAAATATATATATCTACATTTTAAAATATAATTGAAAAGAAATCAAAGTAATCTCCCTATCATATGTACTAACCAATTTAATCTATTAATATCACATTTTTTTCAATTAAATCCCTCAACTATATATGAAATTAATCCCAAATAATATTTAGATAAAAACTAAATAAAAAAACTAGTATAAAAAATTAATCTCGTTATACAAAAGTCATCCCAACTTAATCCAAAAGGACCATTCAAGATTAATTTATATAACAAAATGGGGATAATGATTTTTAACATTGAAAACATAACAGATCCCAATAAAAACAAACATACTTCGCATCTGAAACAAAGCAGATTCATGGGGAAAAAAAGTAAATAAAGAATTTTGTTATACAGGCAATGAATCCCATCTGAAAGCAAATCAAAGTTCAGTTTATACAAAAATACGAAATCATTCTTAGGCCTAATGGTGTTAATTAGATAGGATTTCACACAGAATGATAAAATGTTCTACTAGCCTGATATCATCAACTGATCACAAGATTGTATTGCTTGGTGGGCAAAATACCTCACATCCACATCTGGGTCTTCACTGAGCTCAACAAGACAAGGCCTGATGGTTTTCTCAACAACCTGAGGTAAGAAAGAAAATATATATATATATATATGACCTTTAAGCAAAAAGATGGAACGCCTCGATCATTAAATTCAACGATTCATTATATTCTATCACTTACAGATGAGTCAACTATAGGGAGGAGAGACTGTAGCACCTTCGCTACGTTGAATTTGATGTTGGGCACCCTGAATATCAATAATGATAAACTATCAGAAAACCAAACTTTCTAAGGCTTCGTTTGGGACGGCTTTCTTACTGCTTCTTAAAGCAACTTTATAGTACAAAATATAAAAAATTTCTACTAGAAAACTGCTTTAAGAAGCAATAAAAAAACTGTATCAAACGAAACCTAACTTATGATGGAATGGAAGGGCAAAAAAGGTACAAAAATCACCTGTCTTTTGAGGCATTAATGACAACGGGCAAAAGCCTCTGGTAGGTTATGTCAGAACCCATGACTGGAGATAAAAGAGCTATAGCATGCAGGAAAGTCATGCGGTACAAATAGTGTGGATTATTCATCTTGTCCAGCACCTGAAGAAAACAAAATCCAATAGCCCTTTGATATCCTCTTCCCAACAAAGTAAGCATATTTAATAACATTGATTACAAGAGGTAACACTTAACATGTTCTATGATTGTAACATGGCACAATTTTTAATTTAAATTCAAATACAAGAATAGCAATCACAAGCCAAAATTATGTACATAACTATTTTTAAATTGAAGCAAGGCCCTAATAATTTTGATTTTAAATAGTACACCTATTTTGCTAACTTGAATTCAAATTCAAAATTACAATTATTTTGTTTAACACCTAAATATTACCTCAAATATGAATTCAAATTTTATATTTAATTACATAGCACTCAACTAATTTATTTATTGGAAGTGGATATGGATATATGATATTACTCTTTAACATCATAAAAATAAATTTATTTATAATTTAATAAATATTTATCTCACTTTAATTCAAACCTAATACTTCAAATTTATCTAAACTCTTTTTTATCATTATTTGCAATTCAAAGATATTCAATAGTTTATGTAACAGGTATGTATTCATGAGTATTCATGCATGCAAACATACATGTATAAAAATAGAAATAGAAAAAAATAATAGATATATTTTTGTAAGTATCATTTACTTTTGCATCTATAATTCTATATAACCATGCAATATGCATGTATATATGTATACATGCATACGTTTCTTTATAAGCTAAAAATGTATGCAATATTATATAGGCTTATATATATTCTTTATAAATTTTATGATTGAAGAAGAAATTATATTAATACAGTATTGATTTAAATTAATATATTTTACGAGCTCATTTATTATTTGTATAGTTATGATGTATGCATGCAAGCATGTGTTTGTACATTCATAATGCATGTATGTGTATGCACACATAAATATTACAAAAATATACATACATGCAAAAAATTATTAAACGTCCACATTTCTTACACAAACCAACAAAAAGAATGCCACTTTCCAAGTAGACACCAAACCACCTACTTAGAAAGTAACTTCATCAATTTTCAATTCCAGAACTGAGAACTGCAGCTACACTTAACAAAAATAAGTCCATACCAACTAGTTACATCAACTATGGACATGTAGAACTGAAGAGTAAGACCATTCTAACGCCAGGGCTGAGCCGCTTATTCATGATAACTTCAGGCTAATTTTATTTCATTTGGTAGCTTATATGGCAACATAGGATTAGTGCTCTCTTGTTTTGAGTGCAGCATATTATGGGCAACATTTGCCTACAAATAGGTAGCCTTTACTTGTAATAGAGATTAGATTTGGATATGAATAATATATGAGTTTTACTCTTGTGAATTCCTGTATCCTAAGATTTGTTCTTAGGTAGTGGGTTCTTGCTCCAAGGAGTTTTTGGAGTGGTGTACGGCGACCGTCACCGGATCATCGACGTGGATTCGTCGAGCCCCCTCCGGTCCGGTGTCACATTTAAATACTTAATAATTGTGATGGGCTAATTTAAGGGTGAAAGCTTTGAGATTGAAATAATGAAAGCTGAAAAGATAAAAATAAAAAACTAGAGAATAAAGCACTTCAATGTAGCAAGAAACAATCAATAATGGCAGACCTGTGGAACAATATGCTGCATTGCCCATTCCGGTCCAAATTCCTCAGCAAGCCGCTTCAAATTATTGGCAGCAGCATCTCTGATTGAGAATACCTATAGGAAAAATATATCTAGATTAATACACACAAAGCAGATGTAAGAAGTCAATCTTTTACAAAACCTCAAATTTCCACTCATCATGCCATCCACTTCAATATTGAATTAAAACATTTAAAATCTAAAGCATCCAAGCATTCCTAGATAACAAAAGAATGCAAAGTAATGGCAATCTGAATGATCAATTACCTCATTGCTAAGAAAATACTCATGTGAATCAAATAACTTTTGAAGAGTTCAAACTTGGGACCATTTAAATCAAATAAGTTCCACATCAATGAAAAATACCTAGTTTTGAATATTGCAGTTCACCAAAAACAAAACTCTGCCATCTGGAATATCCATTTCTACATCTATTGGATAACTAGTTTCGTTCTATGAAGAAGGTAAACAGCCATAATTATAATAAGACCAAATTTCTAGCCTAATGTCTAAGTTATCCCAATAATGGAAGTACGGAAACTAAACATGGGTTTCTATAAAAGGGAGTTGATGCAATCTGAAGCCCAGGTTTATTAGACAACTTTCTAAGGCAGCACGGACACATAAAAACTCTAACTGGCAGAGACAGGCATAAAACTAGTGGTTAAAGTTCATGAAATGAGAATTCATATAAAGGCTTCTATAAGAAAGTTAAAGAAGTATCAGGTCAGTTCTCTTAGGCCAATAACAAAATAGCAGCAGGCATGATCAACAATAATTAACAACTTATATGATATGAGAATAAAACTTATGTTTAAAGTTCATGAAATGAAATCCTTCAAATATGATCATATTACTGCTCGACTGCTCGATCAAGTTAAGTTATATAGAGAATTATAATAAAATATCCACATTGCACAGACATCAAAAACCCCCACCTATCAATGTGCTTTCTACATGTAATCCAACATACCTTGTCTTCCAGCCACTGCATGCACAGAGCACCAAGCTTATCATCGAAAAATCTTACACCTAATTGACTCGCTAACAAGGGAATGTACTCAATAATGGCCAATCGGACACGCCAATGTCTGTCCTCTGCAAGCTCAACAATGGCAGGCAACAATGACTGGGACAACAGGTCAATTCCAATCACCTGCAGTAGAAATTAAAATTTAGTGCAAAACAAAATAAACTAGAAAACAAAAATGAATTGTTAATTTATGATATCAAGTTCACAAAATCAACTAGCACGTCAAGATCCAAGTAAGCACAATTACATCTGAATTAATGCAAACCAAATAACCACTACAATTAATAAACAACCAAAAAAAAGATGAAGTAAATCCAACTAATGGCGTTCTACATAAGATAATGAAGATATACATATTATATTAATTGCATAACCGAGAACAAGACCAAGAATTAAGCGACTGCCATATTTTTTAATATAAATAAACTTTTGTAAAAAAAAAAAATCCTACCATTCAGCACCAAATACATCAAGTATTCCAAATATGAAATGAAATATTAACACATCTTTGCATCCTTTTAATGCTAATGATAAATAATTTCAACTTTCCTTAAAGTTTAACAATCAATTGTACTAATTCAGAACCATACAATATGAATTTCGTTAAACTCAACATCTTTATAATTTATGCATTTGCTAACACCTCTGCTTATTTCGAGTATGTTTCTCTCTCAAGGGTGTTATACTTATATGAAGTTCCAAAAAAACATATTCATCCCCAGCAGCCAAAACCACCAAATGTAAGTTCAATATTCTTGTGGTCTATTTAGCAAAATCGTTACACTATTCTCCCTCAATCAACCCCACCTGGGTGATCAGTTGAGATACGGAACCCTACTACTCTATGCTTACAGGCTCTACTTCATCATCCATTACTGGTTTGAAAAAGAGCCGCATCATAGGCACAGGTAACACAATCATACAAATTATATTGGTGAGCAAAATTACCCTCTTTTGTACTATCATACACCATAATTTTAAAATTCTAAATTTACGGTTCCATAATGTTGAAACAAACATACTATTTTGTATTCAAGATCCTCCAAAAAGCCTGAAAGAAAGCAGCTGAATAGTAATGCATGTCTGGGTTAAGAAGAAAGTATAAAAAATACTTGCAAATAATAACAGCAAAATAATCAAATTTGCATGGATGAAAACATGCCTTCTAGTAAATTTGGTAACACAATAGACCAAATATAGCAACTGTGTCCAATTTTTCAGAGCTCACACACACTAATAAACATCAGGAAACATAAAGATAAAAAAGAAAATTACAATAAAAACCACTCGGGATACAATGCATCACAATTCTGGTATAATTTTAGCATACATTAACAATAGGATAAAAAGGAATCAAGAAAAATATACCTGATTTACTTGGTCAAGCTTGCTGATGATGTTCAGTCTAACATCAGGGAATTCATCTTTCAACAATGAAAGAAAAATAGGAAGAAGCTGCTCAATTGTTGCATCCTGTTTATTGAAAAAAAAAAACAATTAAGTTTGTAAATAGAGCGGGAAAAAAACAGCAACGTACAATAGCAAGACAACAAAAAATCCCTGTTCACAGATGTACGAGCATTTTTTGAGAACCTCCATATTTTTTTGAAAGCCCCTCAAAAGCTTTGATAACGCACAGCATGTTCAAATAGTCATAGCATTAGGATCGGATAGACTAATCTTGTTATACTACCAAAATACTTAAATACAGAGCTAGCATCTAAAGCAAAAGGTCATGGATGAGTAACTTTTGCAAACAACAGTAGATTCAAAACCAAACAGCAGGAAAACAACACTACGACTTTATCTTATAACAGATATTTTAGTGAAAAGATAAGTGTAATCCCCTAGCATGCAATGGCATGGATGGAATTTCACAAGTGGGGCGAGAAAAGGGATTCCAAAGGAAATATGGTTAGCGAGATTAAGGGTCTCAATTACATTGACATGAGAAAGGAAAAAAGGTTGTAGCAGCGAGGAATCTGATGAGCCTTGGTAAAAAACAACAATAAATTCTAAGAGATTCAACACAAAAACAGATTTATATTGATAGAAAATCAAATACAAACAAAGCAAAATACAATGATCACCTTTGATGTGGTATCGTTTAGCAAGGATATGATGGAGGGCACCAGAACACCTCCAACGGCTTGCCAGCGTGGCCACTTCTCCTGAACGATCTCCAGAGCTCCACTACTCTTATTCGCATAATTAGAAGTATCTTAATTATTGCTTTCTAGTTATTACGTTATAGCCCTTTACTCATTTTAGCTACTATAGTATTAAGCTAATGGCTGTGGAGAAACTCAGTAGAAATTATCAATATCAGTTTTACTGTTCCATTGCTTTGGTTGTTTCGCCTTTGTGGTCTTCAGTTACAGGTATAGCTCGAGGATTCTATCGCCGATTCCACACCACTTATCTCCCAAAACCTAGACGTCATTGGGATCCTTCACAAAAAAAAAAAAAAAAATCAAAAAAAAAAAAAAAAAAACTGCAGCGCTCTCAAATCAAATTCCCCATACAAAAATAACAAAAATCATACTACTTATAGCAAACAATAAACAATAAATACCAAAACAGCCCTCTCCCAATTCCCTCCCAAATCAACCCCCCTCTCTTGCGGCTCCCGCTCCAGCTGTATCAATACCCTAAACCCTAATGACTGAGGAACACCTTCTCCCTAAGGGGAGGGGCACCTGGCCAGCCCTGAATCTCATATCTTGAGAACAATTATTACGTCATCTGACCGGACGTAGAGCTACGTTCGGCAGCCAATAACATGTCGCCACGTGCTTTTACTCTTTACCGCGCGGCCCGACGACTTGACCCGGAGCGGAACCCGGGAATGCTATGTTCGAGATTTTCTCGGTATTGCTCGGTATTTGCTAGGTATTGCTTTGCAAAATGAGAAATACCGCTCTGTGAAGACCAATACCATGCAAATACCGAGTTGTACCGAGTTTTTTACAACTCGGTACAACTCAGTATTTGCTCAGGATTTGCTCGGTATTGTTAGGTATTTGCTCAGTATTGCTAGAAAAAACTCGGTACAACTCGGTATTTGCTCGGTATTGCTAGGGATTTGCTCGGTATTGATAGGTATTTGCTCGGTATTGCTAGAAAAAACTAGGTACAACTTGGTATTTGCTCGGTATTGCTAGGTATTTGAAATATATCCAAAAGGTGATGGGATGTTGTTCGGCTCGTCAAGGATTTAAAAAAACGCACATGCGAGAACCCAAAAAACAGCGGGTCGGGACGACGACTTTTCTTCATGCTACGTGGCGCTAAAACATTGGTGGCCAAACGTAGAGGAGCGTACGTTCACCAGACCGAATAAAAGCTCCACCTCCAGGCTCTGCAACTCCACTAAATAGCTCAGCCTTGCTCCTTGTATTTCCTTGACCATGGTTCTAAGTAAAACCATAGTTTTGACAGGCTAGGATCCCCTCCAATAATCACTTTCCTTCCTTGAAGAACTTCATCATTAGCATCTGCCAATCAATTTTGATATTTCACAACTTTTGCAGCCATTTCATTCCAGGATGATAGCAGTGCTCCATAACTCCAATGGGAAAAAGTCCTCCCTCACTTGGACTCCCTGTATGGTCAAAACTACCCCCCTACACACTCCTCTACCTGACTCCATCTTCTCAGTGCCCATCATCACCCCATAGCATCCTGTGTCCTTCAATTTCACCCCCAATTGCTCTACGACATAATTGGAGATGAAGTTGTGGGTAGCCCCACTGTCAAAAAACACCACTAACTCCATTTCTACTATTTCTCCTCTCACTTTCATAGTGTATTTCGGAGTGAATCCCACCACTAAGTTCAAGAAAACCTCTGTCATGTCTAAATGCAACTTTTCCCTCTCCACTGATGCCTCACTCCCACCTTCCTCCTCAGCTTCCTCGTCATCACAGACGGTGACAACCAAAAGAGTTCGATCCTTACATCTATGCCCCAGAGTATACCTCTCATCAAATGTAAAACATAACCCTTTTGCTTGTCTATCCTGCACCTCTATTTCAGTAAGGCGCTTGAAGTTGTCTCCAAGGAGAACTCCAGTGCCTTTCTCCTTCGGTGCTTCCCTCTGAAACGACACCGCCTGGGTTCTTGGTGCCAGGGTCATCGAGGTACTCCTGTCAGCCCCTCCCATGATGTTGCTCATGTTGGCCTTCTCCCTTCGATATTTTTCCTCCACTCTCCGAGCAAGCTCCATTGTCTCTCTTAGCCCTCTAAGTCTCAGCATCCTAAGCTTTATGTCCTCCCTAAGCCCCTTCATAAAATTCCCTTCTAACCCTTCCCCGGAAATTCTTCTCAGCCTTGGTATCAAAATCAGCAACAAGAGATTCAACACAAAAACATATTTATATTGATAGAAAACCAAATACAAACAAAGATACAATGGTTCTCTTTCGAGATGAGGACCTTCTCTGCCAAACCCTAGACGCCATTAGAATCCCTCACAAAAAAAAATATAGCAATCTCAAATCAAATTCCTCATACAAACATAATATAAATCATACTACGTATAGCAAACAATAAACAATAAATATCAAAACAGCCCTCCCCCAATTCCCTCTCAAATCAGCCCCCTTCTCCCGTGGCTCCCGCTCCCGTTGCATTAGAGTCTTGGCATTGATTGAGATGGAACATTGTGTCTGATGTGGAATTGAAGCATTACTGTTGGGGAACTACGGCATTTCCTATATTCTTCCAGGAGTGCAGCTTCTGTTATTTGCATCCTACCTAGCATGAGATGCCACTGCCACTAGACTGTTCAGTTGCCATTACATGCTACCGCTCTTGCAGGATATTCAAGTTCCGTTAAATAGAATTGATGTGAAACGTAATGCATGGAAACAAGAACTGCTTGGGGATTTTAATATAAGATTGTTAAAGCTTTGCTAGTTATAGAATTAATGCTTACCCAAATTAAGTTCTCGGAATTATCAAGTCGAAATTAAGTAAGGCATGTGGTTACAACTAGATTAATGGGACAATATCAAACTGACAACATAGAATTATATAGTAATGTTATGGAGAGAAACAATAATCCACAATTAACAAATAGAACTTTTCACCTTAGGTCTCTCACTCACTCTCTTGTTGGTGGCACTTTTAATGGAGGAAGATTGAGAGCAACCGAGCGATGCCACTAGGAGACAAATGGCGCACAAAGTGTAATCCGTTGGAGTGGTAACCGGTGGCGGGTAGTCCATGGGATGACTAGAGGGCATCCAACGTCTTATCCTTTCTTCCTTGATCATCAAAGACGAAGCCGTTGTCGATGTCGGGATCGGCTGTCCATGGATGTGGAGAACTCTTTTCTTGAATCCTTGAGCCGACCACTTGTTGAAACAAAAGAGGAGAAGAGGGGGGGAGTCGACTATGGTGGGGGCTAAGAGACAAGTGCAGGAAATCTGAAATAAATTTCAGATTTTGGGCAATTAGAGGAAGAATTAATTTGAAAATTCAAATCAAGCCAAAGAGGGAGAGAGGGGAGGCAAAGGGGAAAGATTTGGCCTGATTTAGTGGAGTTATTAATGTGATTAGGAGAGAGAAAGAAGGCCAATGAAGGTGGCCAACCACATGGAGAGGAGAGGAATTTGGGAATAAAGAGGGTGGGGCCCAAGTTTAAGTAGATAAATGAAATAAATCTGAATTTTATTTCAGATTTAATTAAGTATTAAGTAACTTCCCAAGCCTTATAATGAGAGGGAGATCAAATTTGAAATTCAAACTTGACTTTAATTTCATTAATGTGCTCGCTTAATGATGGGGCACCAATTAGGAAAGTGTTTAGTCAAGGGTTTGAAATTCAAATGCTATGGATTCAAGATTGGGGAAGGCGGCGGGAAAGGGGACTGCAGGGCTGGCCGGCGGGAGGCTGGCCGAGATCAAATTTGAAATTCAAACTTGACTTTAATTTCATTAATGTGCTCGCTTAATGATGGGGCACCAATTAGGAAAGTGTTTAGTCAAGGGTTTGAAATTCAAATGCTATGGATTCAAGATTGGGGAAGGCGGCGGGAAAGGGGACTGCAGGGCTGGCCGGCGGGAGGCTGGCCGGCGGCGGCTGGATTGGCCGGTGGGCGATGGAGGCAGGGTGGCCAGCGGCTTTGGGCTACTTGGAGTAGGCGGCGGCAAAGACAAGGGGGGGAAAGAAGAGATGGAATTTTCAAGGTTTCGACGACTGCGGATTTACTAACCTCGCTTGTCTCCATGTTGACTTTCCACAAGATTAGATAATTCGAAAGCTAGAACTCACTAAGAGATCTAGTTTTCTCCGGCGAACTCACTAAGAGATCGTGGGGGAATGAACTCACAAAGAGAACAAAGAGCCAATTTCATTTCATCCCAAAAACTACTATTACATAAGAAAACGGCCATATATATAGGCCTCAAAATGACAAAGAAAACAAAAGACTAAAATGTCCCTTGGGCTACAATAGCGACCAAAT